ACAGGGTGGGGTAAGGGGTGGCCAGGAGAGGCTGGCGCTGCAGGTCCTGGGCCATGCTTTGAGAAAGGAGGCCGAAGGCTTGCTTGTGCCTGCCCTTGAGGCAGTGCCCTGAGGGAGACGGCTGCCCTGGCCTGGAGGTGGGAGAGCGGAAGGCCTAGCTGCCTCCACTGCTCGCCATCGGAGCCCAGCCCGTGGCCTGTGACCGGCTGTGCCCAGAACACCAGGCTGCGGCATGGCCGGGTGCCCGCAAGGCGCTGCCTGCCCTTCTGCATCAGGCGTTCCTAACAGAGAGCTCTGAGCTCCTGGAATCCCTTTGGAGCACTCAGCTGTACTTCCCTGGAGCTGGGCCAAGTGAGCATCTGTTTCCTGACTGGATCCTTCAGCAGCTTCCCATGATAAGCTTCAGACAGGGGCCGGCAGCTGGCGTGGTGGCTGGGGCTCTAGACGCCCACAGAGCTGACCAGGCTCGAGTCCCGGACCTGGTGACTTGCTTTCTCACTTTCCCTTTCTCTCTCTCTGGTCAAATTAAAAAAATAATGATAAAAATATAGGTCAGCAGGTGTCATGGTGATTAAGGCACTGAGCACTCCCACATGACTGACCATGGTTCGAGTCTCAGACCCGGTGGCTTGCTTTCTCCTTTTCCTTCTCTCTGTGTGTCTATCTTTCTCTGGTCAAATGAAAATGAGTGAATAAATAAAATTAAATAATTATTTTTTTAAAAATAATAATAAAAATAAATAATTATTTTTAAAAACACTTTATACAGATTAGCTTTGTCCCCTCACATACCAGACATTGAAATCCCAGTGATGCTCACAGGTTGATCCAAAGCTCGAACCCGCTCACTCTCCGAAGCAGGTCTGATGGCAAACACTCTGGGCTCCGCAGTTCAGGGGCGTCTGTCGCGACCACTCGACTGCCATAGCAGCGGAAGGGCTGGTACGCACGACAGGAAGTGGCGACGTGCCGTGTGCCTGTTCGTCTCCTGGGCTGGCCTGTGGCCTGGTGGTTAAGGGAGCTGGACTGCACGTGGCCGACCGTGTGGTTCACACTCTGGACACTTGGAAAACACACTGGGCACGTGTGCATGTGTGCTCCAGATCCCAGCGGTGGAGAGGTGAAGAAGGGATTGTGCCGTGACCATGTGCCATCAGGGGCTGCCATCCCCCCCCTGCTCTCCCTCTTCCTCTCTGTCTCCAGGCAGAGCAGTGGCCTCTGGCAAGTAAATAAAAATGTTATTTACAGGAAAAAACGGGCAGCAAGCAGGCTTGGGTCTCACCCTGGTACTAACTGGTAACTTTTCTGTAACTAAATAAAGTTAAGGAGCATTCAGCAGATGGAGTGTATACGGAGTGCTAGCGGTTCTATTTTGTTATGGAGAATCGCTTTTAAATCTATAGGCTATAAATGTTTTTCTCAAGAGCAGGCTGTGAGCTCAGCTAATGTTAAATAAAGCCAGCCTCAACATTTGAAAAAATGTAACATTATGTCAATACACTGTTGGGATTGGAACCAACTTCCCATCCTCAAGAGAGAAATATTTGAAATTGTTGTTTAAGCAGAAATAATTTCTAAAGCAAAAATATGTAGGTTTTAAAGATTTATATTAAAAATGGCATGCCAAGACAACAAAAATGAGAAATCAGATTACGATTATATCCACTCATTTATTGTTTATTCTCTCTTGGTTCTGGTTATTTATATATTTTTAAAAAATGAAAACAGTAAAACACATCCTGGACAATACTGAACCGTCCACATAGAGACCTGTACATAACCGCTTTAACAGAAAGATCAGCTCAGTTCCCAAAGCAGAATGTCTTCCCACTTCTTACAGAAGTCGGCCAGCAGTTGGTATGGGGTTAAGGCGGCTGGATCCACCTGTCAGCTGCGCGGTTCCCGTCCTGGACCCGGAGGCTTGGGAAACACGCCGGGTGTGTGCGCCCAAAATCCCGAAAAGGAGGGAGGAGTGGAGGAGAAGGGACAACGAGCATGACCATTCCCTTTGAGGGTTGCTTTTAAACTTCTCTCTCTCTCTCTCTCTCCTCCCTCTGGTGAGTGCATGTTTCCTCTGACAAAAAAAAAAAGTTTAAAATAGAAAAAAGGTATCAGTTGCTGTGTTTTTTTGTTGTTGTTGTTGTTTTTTGAAGAGGTTTTTGCTATGGGGCACATGTGCTCGCCAGACAGAGACAGACAGAGAGACAGAAAGTGAGAAATCACCCCCCAGGGGGGATGGCCACGCCGCAATCCCTTCTCCTCCATTCTCCTCTCGGGATCTTGGGCACGCACGCACAGGCACCCGGCATGAGTTTAAGCCACTGGGTCCGGGACTCGAACCACGGTCGACTATGTGGGAATCCAGCGACATAGCCATTACGCTAATTGCTGGTCCCAGTTGCTGTGGTTTTAATGGTCAAGATTATTTCCAACTTTGGCTTCTCTCTCTCTCTTTTTAAAAAAGATTTATTTAATTTCATGTGTTATTATTATTTTTAATTTACCAGACACAGAGAAAAAGGGAAAGTGAGAAAGCAAGCTGCTAAGTCTGAAACTTGAACTGTAGTTGGCCATGTGAGAGTCCAGCACATTTTTTTTTTTTTGAGAGATTTTTGCTATAGGGCGCGTGCGCCCACCAGACAGACAGACAGAGACAGAGAGACAGAAAGTGAGAAATCACCCCCCAGGGGGGATGGCCACGCCACAATCCCTTCTCCTCCATTCTCCTCTTGGGATCTTGGGCGCACACACACACAC